GAAGGCACGTCCAAGATACTCCCCAGAAGAGGAAGAAGAATTCACCCTTCCCCCACCCCTTTCAATACTAGATGAATGGTGGGCGGATCAATCCCCCTCAGAGGACGAAGGCAGGTGGGGTGAGGAGGGCCCGGAGGAGTTTGTATACCAACAGGAAGCCAGTGAGACCACTTCGCAACACCTACACTCCTCATTTGGGGAGGATGTGTTCATGGATACAACGGGCGAGCCCCTATTCGACCCACGCACCATCCGGCACCCCAGGTCTCCTGAGTGGTCCCTACCAGAATATCTGGCCCAGTTTGTCCATTATTGGGTTCACAGACTATTGGGCGGTTCAGAAGAGTTTTAGGGCTGAGTGCCCCAGACCCACATTACCAGACAAGGTCGCTATGACACCCGAATTGGACCCGATGGTCTCCACCTATCTGACCCGATTCGGTCTCGATCCCAAGAAAGGGATCGAACAAAGGGATAGAACACAGCCTCAACCTGGCACAAGATAAAGTGCTTGACATGTTGGGGCCACTGGCCTGGATCCTTACCATGGGAGATGAGGCTGTTTCACAGGGCCCGTCCCTGGACCCAGCAGCCATGAGAGATTGGGCATTACGCTCCATTTGACTGCTGGGCTATTCCAATGTGGCGCTATGCATGGAGAGGAGGAAGGCGGTCCTCATGCGCATGAATGCTAAACTATCAGAGTTGGGATCCAAAGAGCTGGGACCTTTAGCCAACTGGCTGACTGGCTTTCATCAAGGAGCTACATAGACACGTCAATTTCTATGCTACCTTGAACAAGGCCCAGTCATCAATGAGGAAAGTGTTCAGCATTCATACCCCATGTGTTTTTTGCAGGGCTGGACGGCAGCAGGGTCGTGCCTCCAGCCGTTTCTGGCCATTGAGCCATCGAGGATCCCAGACACCATCTTTCTTCCCCAGCTACCATTTGGGTGCTTCACTTCCCAGAGATTGGACCGTGGCAGAGGAAGCCAGACTTGTGGAAGAGGCAGAATGCCTACAGGTGAGACAAGTTACACCTCACTGTTCTCCCAATCTTTTGCATGCCGGCAGGTTACGTTATTGTATCGACAGTTGGTGGGACATTTCTTCGGTTGCGTAGATACTCCAGACGGTCCAGTGCTACGTTATAGATTTCCATTTGCCCCCAGTTTCCGGCTCAGGTATAGTCAAGAGAACTACAAGTCCTGGTGGACGCCGAAATACAGGCCCTTTTCGACAAAGGGCGCCGGACGAAGGAGGTTTCTTCAGCTCCATTTCCCTAGTCAAGAAGAAAATGGGAGATTTCCATCGGGTTATAAACCTGAGGAACCTGAACGCCTTAATCTCCTATCAACACTTCAAGATGGAGGGAATCCATCTTCTAAGAGATTTGCTGCGCCCAGGGGATTGGTTCAATCGCCTAGACCTTCAGACAGAAGACAGAACTTCGCTGGTGGCTGTTACACATGTCAGCCTGGAACGGCAAGGCGATTTTCACCCTGACTCCAGACTTTTTCCTGGAATCGGATGTGAGCCTATGGGGCTGGGGAGTGACATGCACAACCGCCTCCACGGGAGACCCTTGGTCATGCACGGAAGCAGGATATCACATCAACTGCCTAGAAATGATTGCGGGCTCATTCGCAATACGGAGCCGTGCGGGTCATCTGTCGGATTGCTGCATCCTGCTGAGAATGGACAATATATCAGCGGTACAGTATATCAACCGCCTGGGAGGGGCCCACTCATGGGCACTGACGGAAGTGACGAAGGAGATTTACAACTTCTGCCTTTAGCGCAATATCACTCATCAAGCGTAGTATCTCCCAGGTGTGTCGAACCTGACGGCAGACTGGTTCTCCAGACACTGGAGGGATGCCAGCGGTTGGCGGCTACATTGACCGATTTTCCTCGAAGTGGCGCGACGGAGGGGCCCATTCACAGTGGATCTATTCGCTTCCAGAATGAACTTCCAGGTTTCAACTTATTTCAGTTGGCTCCCGGACCCAATGTGTGCAGCAGTGGATGCTTTCCTTCAGGACTGGCCATCACAGGGAGCCTACGCATTTCCACCATTCACTATGATCTCCAGGGTCCAACTCCAGTTACGGCGCCAACAGATATTGTTGGTGTTGCTGACACCTCTTTGGCAGGGCCAGGCTTGGTTCCCAGAATTACTGGAGCTGTCATGTCAAGAGCCGCTGCTCCTCCCGACCCCGCAGACACTCCTGGTGGATTCACGGGGCAACCATCACCCCCTCGTACTGGAAGGCCACCTCCACTTGGTTGCTTGGAGTCTTTTCGGGGTACCTGGAATGTCAATGAATTATCAGGATCAGCTAGGACCCTCCTCTGGGATTCTTGGGCCCCAGGAATGAGTATATGTTATTTGTGGAGTATCGATCCCTTTACAGCGCCTGTAGCCAGCGTATTGGATTTCCTCTCTCACCTCTTCGATCAAGGGAGGTCATATCATTCGGTTAACATGGCCAGATCGGCCATTTCAGCGGCTCATGTTCCCCTTCAGGGGTGTCAGGATTACTAGATGATCCAGCACATAGAATTGTGTCACACAGATTACTAATAGGTATTACCGGGCCTTAGAATGGCCGGACTTAACATACCAAAGAATAGTCAGGATACTTGCCGAGGTCAGGGGATACAGAAATAGACACAACGATAAGAGAAAGCCAGAAGTCAGGGATACAGAATACAGGGAAGTCAAAATCAAAGCCAAAGTCAAAAACCAGAAGAAACTTGAATCAGGAACGCGCTCTCAGACAACTACAAGGGAAACCACGACAGAGCACTGAGCAGGAAGAGAACTGGGCCTCCTCTAGATCTGATAGGCTGTAACCGGCCTTTGACCCCAAAGGCAGTTACCAGGTTCCCATTTGCATAATTGCTGCTCAGCATTAACTCTTCTGTGGATTTGGTTGCTGCTCGGCACAACTTTTCCTGTGTGGACAGTAAATGCCATTAACCACATTTTTATAAGCGGATGAATACGTGACAAGGGGACGACCATCGGACAAGACCCCTTGGTGTGTAGACTCTTGAGAGGAAACAGACTGTCACGTCCTCCGGCCCCTAAATATACATCCCTCTCGGATGTACACCGGGTTTTGGATTTCATTCAGGAATGGCCAGAGAATGAGAACCTATAATTTTGTCGGCAAAATTTACACTTCTGTGCCTGGTATTTTTTTCGTCGGAAACGTCCGGGCTTTTGATGTTTAACGCGTTCACTTTTTCCCTAGACGGGGTGACCTTTTCGGTGTCGAGACGTACCAAGTCCGACTCCACTGCCATTTTCTATCCATATTTTCGAGAGGCTCCTAACCTCTGTGTGGTTGCTACTCTATCTAGCTACGTGAAAGCTACTGCCCTGCTTCGAAGTTCTCAATCGGGACAACTGTTGATATCTTATGTGCGTCCACATAAACCGGTTTCAACCATTACTTTGGCTAGTTGGATCAGATGGCCATTGTCGTTGGCCGGTGTGGACTCCTCATTTGGTGCTCATTCGGTAAGGGGCGCGGCGGCGTCAGGAGCCCTAGTAGCGGGTGCTTTCCTTTCTGATGTTCTACATTCAGCAGACTGGTCTTGAGAAGACACTTTTCGACAGTTTTATTTCAGACCGGCGGAACATGCATCTTTTGCTTTACTGGCTGAGTGTTGAAACAGCAAATACAAAGCCTCCTGTAATGTTATAAAATTGTAGATTATGCTAGCTTTAGTGTACATATAATCTTAATTTTATTAATGACAGGAGGCGAATATTTCCCACCCTTTGGTTCCCGACCCTTGTTTGTATTTATTTTCTTGTGTGTTGAGTATTATTAAAGAGGTATGTTTCTGGTCAGTTATTTTTTATGGTTATTAAATCTGTGTTTTTAATTACGGCCTAGGGCGAAATTGGTGGTGTTAACTATATTTTACACTGGGTGGCTGCATGTTTTAGATGTACATTTCATTGGCTAATCACATTTTTCGATTCTGTTTATCTCGTTTCAGTGTGGAGATTCCAGGATGAGATCACGTTCAAGTTTTCAATTCGGTTGAAGAATGCTATGAGAGTCGTTATTTCTGTCAGAGACAGACTGTTATTGTTATGTTATGTTTTTCTGACTGTGTTTGTTATCGCAGCTTAAAAGAGGAAATGGGATGTTGAGAAGGGAGTTATATGGTCTCCTTACTGTTTTTTGATTGGTTGTTTACTCTCTGTGTTTTTTGCTGCTGTGGAGTTCTAGTAAAGAGATTTAAGCAAATATTCACCTCCTGTCATTAATAAAATTAAGATTATAGGTACACTAAAGCTAGCATAATCTACAATTTAATCTCGTGTCCTTGATTTAACTGCATTGGCAGCAGAATATATTTTTTAGCAAATTTTGACTGGATTTATAAGAACACTGTAGGATCAGAAACCCAAATATGTATTCCTGACACTATAGAATATGACTGTAATGGCAGATAAAAACCATTTGGCCCATTTAATCTGCCCAATTTGCTAAATACTCCCATTAGCCCCTGGCCTTATCTTATAACTATGATAGTCTTATGCCTATCCCACGCATGCCTTTACTCCTCCACTGTGTTAATCTCTACCACTTTAGCTGGAAGGCTATTCCATGCATCCATGCTGTGGAATTCCATCCATTCCATGCTGTAATGTGAACACTGACCTTTCTCTGAAAAGACAGTGTTTACTGCAAAAATCCTGCAGAGACTGACTATACTCACTACACTGACTATACTTGAAGCTGTAGTTGTTCTGGTGACTATATTGATCCTTTAATGCAAACCTAAAATCCCAATAAATAGTCAGCTGCTACAGAAAGATTCCCAGGTAGTTGCATAGGCTGAAAAGGACATTGTATCCATCATGTTCAGCCCTTCTCTCCATCAAGATCAGCCTTTCTCATATCTGTTTTTGCTGTTGTAAAAAAAAAAAGGCAAAAACACCCAAAAAACTGTTTGCTTTGCAATTTTGCAATAAACTAGGAAAAAATAATTCTTGAGCTTAGAATGCCAGTCATATCTCTCATTGAAGCTGTTACCCCTGTTATCTCTCTCATTGACATTATACTAAATCTCATTCTACCAGTATTGTAATAGCCGCAAATAAATTATATATATATATATATATTTATAATGCAAAAATATGATTTAGGCACTCACCCTTAAAAAAATTCGTGTGAATCTTGCCTTTGGTGCTTCCAGCGTCCAAATATATAACCAAAGATAGATAGGAGCACTCAAAAGGACTTCGTTATCTATATTTATTGTGACAAAAGTTTACATCAAAGTGTAGAACATCAAATCGACGTTTCGACCCCTCAGGGTCTTTTTCAAGATCAAACACTGACTGAAATAGGTACAGTTTTAAATATAAGTACAGAAAAATCAACTCACCAATCTCGTGTGTGCGGCTACCCGAACCCGGAAGTGTCCCGACACCCCACGTGATTCCTTCAACGTGCGTCACTACGTATGACGTGGTTGCTAGGTGATAGAGTGTAAACTCTACGATTAGAAAAAATCACAACCATGATAATCTGTGCATATAACATGCAGATATGGTAAATATAAACGCTAAGTGCTATGAGATCTCTGTCCCGAGATCAAGGAGTGAATGTTAAAAACAAAGAGATACGAGAATACTCGATCGGAAGATTTCCAGATTATTAGTAATGAAAATAATAAACCTATGAGACAAGATGCCTGATAAGGTTAAATAATCTAAAGTGCAATGAAAAGTGCGGTGCAAGGAAAAATGAATGGTGCTAAACACTCCAAGTGAAAAAATCTAATCGGCAAGAATCTCATAAGGTTAATCTGAAAGAGATAAGAAATAATAAGGCTATAGATGTCTATAGACAAAAAATAAAACAAATAGATGGGCAAATAATATTAAATGATGTACTGTTACATATCATTACTATATAATAACTCTAAATTAATGTAACACACAATATCTGAAGTACAGGATTTGATATATTAGCAAGATTATATTAATTCATCAAATAAACATGGAAAATGAAATATATTTGTTTAGTCCTTTCGGAGTGACTGTATCCAAACGGTGTATCCAATATGTTTCGCGTTGCAGTAGCAGTTTGGATCTGTCACCTCCTCTGGGGCTGAGTGGAACATGGTCAATAGCTATAAATCTGAATGTGGGAAGTCTGTGGTTTGCTTGAAGGAAATGTTCGGCAACCGGCTTATCGGATTTTTGGTCTCTAAATGCGGTGGTGATGGTTGATCTATGGCCACAAATCCGTTCACGGAGAGTCAGGTCTATTTTCCCCACATATGAAAGACCACAGGGACAAGTGATTAAATATATCACATGATCGGTCATGCATGTAATGTACTGGGTAATTAGGATCCGGATACCACTATGTGGGTGGACAAATGAGATACCTGTATTCATATGGCTGTAAGTTACGCACCCACTGCATCTATAGCAGCCTTTCTTGCTGGGTCCTGTAGTTTTTCGATAACATAAAGTGGGGTCGCTTCTCACTAGTAGGTCTCTAAGATTCCTATTTCGTTTCAGGCTGATATTGGGTTTTTGACGAAATATTGATGGTAGATTTTTATCTGAACCTAAGATGCCCCAATATTTATTCATAGTTTGTTGCATCTGTGAGGTACCAGTGTGAAGACTTAAAGGTAAATACATTTTAGTCGCTGGTGGTATCTTCCGTGTAGCCTCAGGAGGGTCACTAACCATGTGTTCCATAGCTTTAGCCTTTGCTCTCTCCAAAACATCAAAACTGTATCCTCTGGCAAGAAATCTGTCAGTCATTTCTTGTAGTAGGTTTGCTTGGTTGACGGGATCGCTATTGTATCTCAATACACGCATGTACTGAGATACGGGAAGTGATTCCTTTAACTTTTGTGGATGGTAACTATTAAACTGGAGTAGCGTATTTTTTGCAGTGTCTTTGCGATATAAAGTGTATCCCAACGTGCCTTTTTCTCCTTCTTTATAGATGGAAACATCCAAAAATTGAATTATCTGGAAATCAAAAGTGAGTGTGAGTTTAACAGGAAGCGCCGAGGAGTTTATCTCATTGATCATTTGTTCCAAGCTGCAAGAGGTTCCTGTCCAAATTAGAAAAATATCGTCCACAAAACGATGATAAGTGAGTATCTGTTTGCGATGCTTCTCAAGGATGTGTTTGGTCTCAAAGAGGAACATAAATGCATTGGCATATGAAGGTGCCATCGCTGCTCCCATTGAAGTACCCATCAGTTGTAAATAAAAAAGATCTTCAAACTTAAAATAATTGCATGTAAGAGCTATTTGTAAAAGCTCCATGAGAAATTCAATGGGTGGACCATTATATTTGGACGAGTTGCAAAGGATCTGTCGCAATGCTTGTATACCATCCATGTGTGGTATAATAGTGTATAGATTTTTAACATCTAATGTGACCATTAGATGTTAGCTTCCACTGAGGTTAACTTCTTAATGTTCTCCAGAAAATCACTTGTGTCTCGTAGACAAGTCGGAAGATCCATAACAGAGGTTTTGATATAATAATCAATGTATTTGCCGAGAGGCTCAAGCAAACTGTCTTGAGCCGAGACAATCGGTCTTCCTGGTGGATTTAACATGTCTTTGTGAATGTTGGGTAATGTATATAAAACTGGATGTTTCGGATATTTAACGTATAAATATTTAGCCGTATTTGTGTCGATGAAGCCCATCTGAACTCCGGTGGTAATCGTGGTTTGAATTCTGTTTTGAAATTTTTTAACAGGATCGAAAGTTAGTTTCTGATAGGTGGTTATGTCAGAAAGTTGATTGCAAATTTC